GTTTTTAAATGTGGTGCTGTGCTATCTATCAATAAGAATGCATTTTAAATGATTATTTTGCACCTCTGGGTCATTTTAAGCCAAATAACTGCTCACAATTATGTTTTCCTAATTATGATTATTCCATGATTACATTACAGAGCTCCCTTGCCACAGCCAACCCAACACGGTCTCCGGGCTATTGAGGGAGTGAGGTGACAGTGTCACTGAAAGCAATTAAAAAGCCATCAGAGGGAGCTGAAAAGAAAACACTTCCTATTAGATTGCAAAGTTAACCACTGGCCTGAGCCCAATGTGGCCACGGGAGCACCAAGATGTTATTACTCTCTGCAGGTGCTGTGCTGTTATTCCTCTGTGGTGATGTTGGATACTAAAGTGGGCTCAGTAATGACCACCGCCAGTCCAAAGAACAGCACATCAGGAGCGGTTGTCTCCAATCAACTTGTCATTGTTCACATGAACTCTCAAAGGCGTCTGGTAAATTTTGATTGTATTATTTTTCTCCGCGTGGGGAAGCAGGGGCGAATGCAGAAGGAGACACAAGGTGGGATTGTCGCTTCAAAGATAAAATACAATTACACTGTAAAACATCAAGCATATAAGTCACATGACGCCTCCATGTATGTTCTCTGTGGTCAAGTACAGAACGTCAAATACCCTGACATACAAACTCAGAGTAGAGCATGCATCTCTAGGGATAGGTACCTACCACTGAACAACAGTAGCATACCACTCCAGGGATAGGTACCTACCACTGAACAACAGTAGCATACCACTCCAGGGATAGGTACCTACTGCTGAACAACAGTGGCATGCCACTCCAGGGATAGGTACATACCTCTGAACAACAGTAGCATGCCACTCCAGGGATAGGTACCTACCGCTGAACAACAGTAGCATACCACTCCAGGGATAGGTACATACCTCTGAACAACAGTAGCATGCCACTCCAGGGATAGGTACATACCGCTGAACAACAGTAGCATACCACTCCAGGGATAGGTACATACCGCTGAACAACAGTAGCATACTGATCGGCCACGATCTCGGCGCTACTGGTCTGAGGTTATCCTCATGAGTTCAGTTAAGCCGGTCATTAAAGATTTTATGATTTTATTTGTTTTCTTATAAACATGCAGTACAAACTTGAATCACTTAACATTTTAAAGTTTATTTTGTTAAACTTTGCCATGGTGTGTCTCCTTTTTGTTTATGACCCCATGAGCGAGGTCATAACAGGACCAATTAGATGATGAACAATGAAATTGTTTGACTTTTTGGGAAATACACAACTTCCTTGCCAAGAGCTGAGAAGATTAATGCCATTCATATCTCATGTCTATTTAATATGACACTATACAGCTAGGAGACAGTTAGCCTAGCTTAGCTTTGTGTAAAGACAGAGGGAAGCAAACAGCCTGGTCACCGACCAGCACCTCTGAAGATCACTGATTAACACGTTATTTTTGAATTTCACTAAAACTCGAAGTGTAAAGACTACAAGTTGTGGTTTAATGTGAGGTTATTTTAGGAAGTCACTGCTCCAGGCTAAGGGATAGTCTGCCACATAAGCCCCCGTAAAACCACAACCTTTGGACAGAGCCATGCTAACTGTTCCTCCCGTTTCCGGTCTTAATGCTAAGCTAAGCTACCCGTCTCCTAGTTGTAACTTTATATTTAGCGTACAGATATAACACTGGTACGGATCTTCACATCCAACTGTCTGCAAGATAACAAATATGCCTATGTCCCAAAATGGCAAAACATTTCTTTAATTCTCTGTGTACACAGTATAATAAGTAGAGGTATTTCATGTTTTGAGTATAAATATGTCAGCATCCCACATTGGATTGAATCCGTGTTTTGTTTTGTTCTTTTCTTGTTTTGTGAATATTTGTTCAAGTGTGTTACTTATATGTTGAGCAGAGGATTAAACTAGAACAAATCATGCACAAACAAAAGATAAGAGGACTGAGGCCAAAACACCGCAGTTGATGTGAAAGATAAAAGGATAATATCAGGCACCAAATGGGCAATGAATTATTTAATACACCAGAGTGGGTCCAAACCCTAATTAAACCTAAAACATCATATATACCCTTTTAGCGACATGTATATTAATTAGAGAAGCCCATTAATATTTGAAGACCACCACTCCCCACAACAAGCCAATCTTGAATCTTTGTGATTCTGTGCTGTGATGTAAGCAATTGCTTTACGGACACAGGTACAGTACTTACAGCGTATAATATTCAGTATAATCTCCATAAACAGACAGCCCTGCCCTCTGCTTGTGGCCCCACCAATTCAAAATGACATGCCCCTGAAAGGATTATCGTGCAAAAGCTCGTAACTTAAATAAATCCCACTTTCTTCTTCGCGCTCAGCTCCACATATTTCCAGAGATAGACAGACTGTTTCCCGAGCTTTCCCGTACCGACAGTGTGTTGCCTGGGCGGCAAAAAGGTCCTCACGTCAACAGTGTTGGTGTGCATTAGAAGAAGTGTGTATCAGTGTACATAAGTGTTGTTACTGTGCCATCATTAACAGCCAGCTGGCTACAGTCACGATGAGGGGGTTTGGGAGTAAGCTCTGGACCCAGCAGGCCAGTCACGTAACGTCCCTGAACATCTGGGTAAAGGGACTAAGGCTCAGATTAAAAAACACACACACACACACACACACACACACACACACACACACACACACACGTTGACGGACCTGTTGTCTTCCTTGACTGTGAAAGCTGATTTTTTTTTAGCTCTTTGGGTAATCAGGTTGGAGCATGGAAACAGGCCCCTGGCAAAAAGGTGTGCGTGACGGCGTCAGCACGTCACCTCCTCCAGGAGCAGTTACGTCTCAGGTACTGTAAGTCACCCTGCCCCCCCCGAGGGGACAGGTCCCTTCAGTAAATGACAACCCAGGCAACATCGTTAGGCAGCTGCTGTGTGGCAGCGGCTCCTCGGCAGAGTGATAAGCAGAAAGACTCCAGTGGGAAATGCTTACGGTGCACTTAAAGGTGACAGAGATAATGCGGGCCATGCACTTGTTATTCTCTGCAGAGCTGCGCATCATTTGTACACTCCGGCTATAAATAAAGATTTGTCACAAACCGAGATATGGAGTCCGGATGAGGCGCTGAGCCGCAGTCGACTTGAATTTTAGGATTTCTAATTGACCATTTACTAAACCTCTCACAGGAACGGTGGTTGTCCAATCATGGCTGAGCAGATGTAAATAGTCCTGACTGGTGGGGGGGGGGTGATACCACAAATTTAGGTTTAAGGTCAATACTATTTATAAAAAAGGCAGCTAATCTACTATATATGGGAGAGAAATATGTCAGTTTATGTGAATGCATTATGAATACTTGAATATATTTTAATTTCACTAAAATAATTTTCACGAGACTTAATCACATGCATGTTTAAACAGGCAGCTAACGAGGTGTTTTAAAATGACTACAATGCACCGGTCAATGCTACTTTGGTAGCTTTTTATCCTGCATAATAATCAAATAGAAATTATAATTAAAACTGTGATAAAAAAAATTGTATACATTAGTTACTTTTCCTACAGAAATACTCAACTATAAACATTCCATTGCGTTCCAGAAACAGGGTGTATGTTTGACTCCGCTGTGCTGTCACTTATCTTCTTCTCAGCTGACAGATACCGTCCTCCTGTGTGTGTTTCTTTGATGACTTTTGATGCAGACGCTATAACGGCTTTGACGGGCATCTTCATGCAGCACACAGTCATTTTCACACAACCCCCGAAGAAACATTTTCCAAAATGTCAGGTCCAAACGACGGCAAACAAGTGCCATCAATCGGCTGACAGGCGGCTATTAAACCCGGTTTGAACCGTTGGTGTGAAGTCGCATGCACCAAAAATAGTCTGACGGGAAATTATCTACGTGCCGATGCTGATGGTGGAAACGCACACGAGAGAGAAGTTTAGTGACATCTCAAAAGGGCACATTTGCAGACATTGTTTGCGTAATTAGACGTCGAGGTATTTGTGGCGGCAAACAGATGGACTTTGGCAGCTGCGGTCTTCTATCAACCGTATTGCAAAAACACTGCTTTTCTAACAGGAGTGGGTTGATTTCTATGGCGAGGAGAGCTAACAAATTGAGTGACACAAACGGAGCTCAGAAATAGCCCTGAAATACGGGCTTAACGCATTAACTGAAATAACCATCAATCTCTTCTACCTTGACCCCGCGCGGCACCCCGACGCCATTAAGCGCCTCCCGTGAGTCATGATCACTAGCTCGCCTTAATATGCCATTTCAACACGAGAGACGTCAGAATGAGCAGCAGAGTGTAATTGCCCTCGTCTAGTGCGCAAGATTGTTGGTTCTCCAGAAGAAAAAGAGACGCGAGGCCTCCTTCATTTGCCACGAGATGAGACTCGTTCTCAGAATATATGGCGAGGTAATTGAGCGATGAATTACTTTTTGCATCAGCACCACTCGATGACACCGATTCTGATGTAGCCTAGTAATATATTATCTCCCTCTTTGCGGTAATTTATCCCCAAAATGACATCCAATGGAAAATGAACATCCCCCTCCTTTGTCAGACCCAAAAAAACAACCCTATCAAATTTCCCAGAAGCAACGTATTATTTCTCTCTGTGTGAGGGTCAGTTCTTCAGAGAGCACGGCATGACATTGTGCTTTTTCCCATTATGTAAAGTCACGTCTCAGAGTTTTGACTTTTAAGCGCCGCCGTTCCCTAAAGAGAAGAAATAAATGAGTTTCGCATCACGCAACGCAATCAGTCGCAGTTAAACCTAGATCTCCCAAAATCTGATTACATCTGCTGTAATTGAGTCGACACCTCTACCTCGAATTATACTGTCGAGAGATAAAAAAAAAAAACACATTCATATGTGCGATAATTGGAGATAGATGGAGAAATAGATGTCTAAATGGAGGACAGGCAGGAAATACGTCAGATGGACAAAAGATGCCAGTCAACAAGAACAAAAAAAAGACGACAATCTTTATTTCAATCTTTCAAACCTGTAATAAAGTGTGACAATCTCAATTCAAACCCAAAGGAGGAAGTTCGGCAGAGAAAGGTAGGCAACTACAAGGACCGGAAGGCAAGGCGAGGGCATGGTTTCCTTTAGTGCAGATTCACAGTAATGATACAGATGACCTCTGTATATTAAAAACAGCAGGTGTGCTTCGGTCGAGCAGCCTAAGTCGATCACGTTACAAGATTTACTGAGCTGCAAAAGCAGGATGAAACGAAGAATAACGAATCTTATCATATCACTGTTACACTTTAAGAGTGTGGGGGAGGATCACCTTTACACAACGATAGCATAAACTGCTCAAAACATTCATTACTATTTCAAAGTATCCACCGAGTAGATCAGCAGTTAGTTCAGTTGTCGTTACGTGAGACGCGATCAAGTCAAAGTGAGGATGTGGACGCAGGACTGAGACTTCCTCCCTAGGTCAGGGATGAACTTAATGCTCATTCATCACCATGTGTTGAAGTTCCCTCGAGAGAAAGCCTGTTACAGAAGCTGTCGTTGCTCATTTCAAACTTTTAATTACTCGTCAGCTCTGTACGTTAAATAGTATGCAGGAATGTTTCGGATGAATAATGTAAAACAAATGCAGAGCGAATAATAATAATCCAGTGCACCACTCTAAAAAGGAATAGTTTGCCATTTAGGGAAGTATACTAGCTTTGTCGCCGGGACTTGGAGGAGAGGATTGCATGGTGAATATTAAACTAGGGTCAGCAGCCGATTAGCTTAGCTTAGCATAAAGACTGGACGCGAGGGGAAATGGCTAGCCTGGCTCTGCCAAAGGCCAAAAAAAGTGCATACCAGCCCCTCTAAAGCTCTCTAATGAACAGGTTATCTTGTTTGTTTAATCCATAAAGGAATGAGTAAAAAACAACACGTTGTGGTTTTAATGGGGGTTATGTGCCAAACTAAATCCTGGTCGGGTGCAGAGACTTCCTGGAGTCTTCACGGTGAGGTTTCCAGGAAACCAGAGAAGACTTCCTGGAAGTTACTTCAGTTTGTGTACAGATCAAACGAGAGAGATTTTAGAGCTTTAGAAGTGCTGGCAGGCGGTTGTTACGATCAGAACCAGGCTAGCGGTTTCCATTCTTTGTGCTAAGCTTTCATATTTTCCCCTTCAGACATCAGTAACAACTTTCTCATGTAACACTTGGCAAGAAAGTGAAGAAGCGCATTTCCTAAATTCTCAAAGTTTTGAGTTTCCAACATGATTTATACTTTTATCTACCAATCGTCACATAATTCATTATATGCGTTTTTGTTTGTACTCTTCCCACTGGTGACACGGCTGAATTGGAGGAAAAAAAACAAACGTGCGATTTCATCTCCATGCACCAATTAGCACGAAACATACGACAGCTGGGGAAAAATGTGCTTTTGTTTCCATGGAAATGCCCCTGCATATGACAGGTTTTCCTTTATTTTTTCCTTCTTTAGTCACAAACGTGTAACAAAGACAATGAAACATGTTCTCAGGTGCTTTAACTCGCTGCCAGAAAGGCCCCAAATCCAACCAGGAGCACTCCACTGAGCATCTCTCATAAAAAGCGTATTACACTGGGAGGAGCAGATTTTAGGAACACTTGTTTATTATACGTAACAGACTGGCCACTTCAACCCAAGAGGAAGCCACAACCCCTACCAGATTTCAGCTATTGCAAACAGGACAGCTATGGCATTGAGAAAACCAACAATAGTGCGTTATGGCAGAAAAAGAAGGGGTGAAACTAAGCAGCAGGAAGACGGGCTTTATATTTTGTGCGCTCAGTGTATCGGGATTTAAACTTCAACCTGCCTACTGAATTCAATATGGCAACGAGTGATGGAAGACAGATTGAAATATGGAAAGAGACGGAGCCCGTCTATCTGAAGAATATGACTTGTTAAAAGCTGCAGGGACTACTGATGCGTGTTATGGATGTCTGCTATACAGGTACAACCCATCTATATGAAGAATTTCAGCAGGTTGGCCATGTTGGAAAACAAAAAAGCACATTTGCCATATCCCAGAATCAGACACACTGATACCCATTACCATTTACTCATAAATGGACACCAACAGGTGGCTGGCTTGAGAAATAAGTAAGAAATGCGCGACTGTCTCGTCACTTTGCACCCCTTGAAGAAGAAGAAGAAATATGTTCAGGCAATAACATACAATAGATAAAGCACGATTGATTTATGGCAGATTTTCCTTCTTGGGCACTTCCTTTGCTTTCTACACACGCCAATTAAGCTTTGACTTTGGGTTTGGGGTAGAGGTGGAAAATGTCGGTGTATTCATGTCAGTTTGAAGGCAGGTTTTTACTGTTCTACAATATCATAATAAACTGGAAACAAAAAGAAAAAATTGGGATATAACAAAAAAAGAAGCATTTTAGTAGTTACAAAACAAGGAGAGAAAGCGTCACAAGGAACAAACCACTGGTTGGTCGAATCTTAATAAATAAGAGGTTGGTTCACAGCCGCCTCCATCTCTGGAGCATTACGTGTCTACACGCCGTCACTAAAAGGCTGTTAGCTTGAAACAAGATTCGATGGCTTCGCTGAGCGGCCGACCTTTAACACAGAACTCAAAGATGGGAGAGCGGTCTGTGCTAGAGGGGCTTTGAGGGGGAGTGATATGAAAGACAAAGAAGCAGAATAGTAACACATTGATAAGTCTTTGAGTTTCATGTCACCGCATTTGACTCGGCCCATCATCCTCTATCCGGCGGGAGCACCTGCGTTAATCGGTTTTCTTCTCTTCGGGATCCTTCTCTCCGACGTCGTCTTCCTCCTCGTCTTCCTCCTCCTCCTCCTCCTCGTTCTCGCCCTCTTCGGGGCCCTCCAGCTCAGTGCCGCGCTGCCTCTCCTCCTCCTCGTCTTCCTCCTCGTCGGTCAGGCCCTCCCTCTTGAGCGCGTCCAAGTCCTCCGAACCGTCGTCCGACTCGGCTGTGCAGATGCCGTAGCACATCAGGCTAATTACGCCCAGCGGTAGGCCGAAAAGGAAGCAGCCTAGCAGCGGAGAGCTGCGAAACACCGACTGATGTGGGAGAGGAGACGACGAGAGGAAGACACAGAAGGGGGAGTGAGAGGGGAGGACATGGAGACAAAAGAAAAGAGGTGTGAATTGACTGTACACATACAAGTAAAAAGCCTTTCCATCTACAAATGTTACCATCACTCAGAATCTCTTACTCATTCTTGTCTTATTCAAGTCTGGATCACAAAGCGGGTCACGTCAGGGTGCTAATTAGTTTGGGATCATTTGCTAAATTGCTTGGTGGTAATCAAGTGAATGAGAAGTGATAAGGGGCCGGAAGGCGGATCGTTGATTTCTATGTGAAGAGTTGCACTTATAACCAAACCCAACACTGATGTCACAGTGTGACAACAAAACAAAACAAACCCCCATCCCAACCCCTGGAACAGAAATCGGCGAACATGGAAACCACCATGTGTGGTCTGCAACGCTCGATGGGGACTAGAAACGGCAAAAAGGACGACTGTACCAGTGTCGAGAAAGCTGGAATGATCGAGGTTCAACAGGGGCGCCAAGCTCGTTTTTTTGCCCCCGGGCCCCCAAATGGGTTAATCCGGCCTTGACCTCAATTCTTAACTTCACACATTAAAGAAACTGATAAAATGTTTATGGTTTAATTCTCTCAATGCTTCCCCAATATGTCACAGCCCAGCTGTGGAGAGGGCGTGATTAGTAGAAGTGTTTACTACAGTAAACTGCCATTACAGCGGCCATTAGGGAGAGCCGATTCAAAATCCTATTTAGAGATCCAGGAATATTGGTGTGAAGAACTGCAGACATGCTTTTATGTTTTCAGCAGAGATACTGCATTTTTATTCATTCATGTATTCATTCATTAGCATTACGCCATTAAGCTACGTGTGTGTGTTTAGAAGGCAGGTCACAAATCATTTGCAGAAACCCAGGCAGGCTTTAATATTTTAGTATTAATTAAATTGATGTCGTGTAATTTCAGGATGTCTGTGTTATGTTATACTGTTTGTGTTTCTGTCTCGTAATGTGCCGTCTTGTTTGCTTTGGTTTTGTTTTACACTGATGACCCTATCGCAGAGTTTTTACCCTTTTATCTGCAACACTGAGTTTCTTGTACTTCCATATTGTGCAGATTGAACCGATATAAATAAAGAAATCTCAAACTTCAAACAGGTAAAAGGTCCACCTTTATGCACAGGACTGTCTGAAGATATTTTCTGTCTTCCTCGCCTATAATAGGCTCACCTCTCATGACTACACGCTCACACACATTCAGACAGGTGCTGTAGCTACATGTGTGCAAAGGTACCAAGCACCCACATCCCGGTACATCTTTTTGTGAGTGAATTACAGCTACATTTTGTTGCAATCCCTCGGTAGGAGAAACTATTCTCCATTTAATTTACTACCTGTAGATTCTACATTCATTAGAACTTGGTGACAGTCTGCACATTTTGGTGTATGGACTTGTCCGGGCATGAATCCCTAAAGATCGGTAAAAAGAACAGTAACTGCTCATTCACATCCATGCCCCGAACCTGCACATAACAATTTAACATTTCTGTGACACGTACCACTCCACTCCTGTGAAACACCGTCCCTGCGGAAACAACACTGCCCGGGTCACTGAAGGACAACCACCTAATTTAAATGATCCCAGTGACAGATGAGTCATTTGGCCTGAATATAGCAGCCTACATCAGAGACAATGTACCTGGGAGCGAGTATTCGGTCACAACTTCTGTCAGCCGCTGAGCTGAGAAGGAGAGAAACATTCGTGCGCCCTCCAGTCATTGCCACAGGAAGAGGGATGGTAATTGCCGGTGCTGTGTGACGCTGGATGAGGTGGAGATGGGTATGCTATGCTAACACAGCAGGCTGTGAGTCATTGGGCCTGATGCGGCTGCTCCCTCGTGCTCCCCGTCAGCCGTGCATTTAGATTTAGGCTCCGGGGGCCAGGTGATGGCTGCTGCCTGTCTGCTCTGGATCATATCGTGTCACTGTAAGCAGGACTGTTCATGGAGACGCATGCAGCTCGCCAAATTTAGGGAAGCGAGGAGAGAATAGCTTTCCTCTTTACAGGTGTGAGACAAGCCTTTCACATGTGGATTCTTACTTTTGTGCAGAGGAACAATTACAATCCTTCACTTTTTGCTCTTCTCTTTCAGCCCAAAGAGAGATTTTTTATTATTAACCTTTTCAACCAGGTTTTATTCTTCCTCTGGTTTAAACTGTCAAACCAGAGCCGACAGCGGAAATGTTGAAAACCTTCAATAAACAGATTTTTACAAGCCTTTCTTCGTACGTTGAGGTTAGCTTCCAGAAGTCACTATAAAACCTATGATTTCCCCTTTAAGGACATTGTTAAGGGCAGTGTCGAGCTTTACCCGCGATTACAGTACAACTGCAGAATTACCGCACAGCTGTATTTACATTCCTAGCACACCCGTAGTAAAATAAACACCAGCTCCCCCGAACAGAACCAACTACTTCGGGTCAGGACACCGAAGTTGCTTCTCCTCCCACTTTCACTCGGTCTGCTCTCTCATCACTCCACCGCCTGCTGCTCTCTCTCTCTCTCCGCATACTGTGTTTACTGCCTGCATTGCATATTCTCAGTCATACTCCGCGTCTTGTTTCTCTGAATGTTGTTCTTCCTCCCACGGGGAAAGAGAGCAGGGCACTCGGGCATTCGTTTTACAGTGTTGCTGAACTTGCCGCATTATGCATGTACAGTACTCGCTATGGATTGGAGAACATGGTGAAGGTGAGGCGCGGCGTGCAGCATATCAACGAGCACGGGGGTACATATTCATTCAGTGGTATCATAAAGAACGAGGTGAGGAGAGGTATACAAGTAAGGTAATAATATTAGCCTGAAACTTATACAAAATAGACTAAAATTGGACTAATCAACATTTCTATATGAACACTGGACAAAGGATTATGGGTCATCATCCACACAAACCCACGTAGAATAATCCCCCCGAGTCTGCTGTTTCTCTGAGGTCTACGGAGCGTTTAAGCGTCTTTCAGGTTATTGTTTAGGTCAATTTTACTGCTTCGGTTCACCATCACTCATCCCATCAGAAAAGCAACTCCGTATCTTTGCCGATGTTGCTACGCGTCTGCTGGTTGTGTAAACAAGAAACTGTCTGCCTACGAGTTTGTAAAATACAGTAATAACAATGAGCAGTTTGTTGTGCTGCTCCCAAGGGGACATACATTAATGGAGGTTTAAAAAGCTACAGTACCATACTTGTTATAAAATAACCTCATAGACTAAAACTAAATCTATTAGACATGTGTGGGCTTTTGGAGCGACGGAATTTTGGTCAAAGACATTTTTTTGGGGGCATTTTTCTTTTCTTTTTTTTTTTATATATACTTTATTGATGAGAATGCACCATATGACATAAAAATCAAAGAGCAAGTATTTTCATTTTTGTGCACGTGTTACTCAGTTTACAGTAGTAAAGGAGAAAATAACAAGAAAGAAAAGCAAAAAACATAAAAACAAATAAAACAAAACCTGAAAACAAAGAGTTACTTAAATCAAAACACCCACCCCCAAACCCACCCACAAACCCACCCACAAACCCACCCACAGACAAGGCCTTCCCATTTGTTTACGTAAAGTTTATGTAGTACAGTATTGTAAAACTATAGTTCAGTAGTTAGGTTAAATTGTAATTGGCATTTTTTAGTGAAAGTCATGATGGTGATATCCTGCAAAATAACATGTATTTAACTATTTTTGCAATTTCTTTATTGCTGAATGGTTTGAACATTTTAAACTTCAATAACGTGCTTGAGAAATGTTCTCCGACTGTCTACACGCAGCAGCCTGGAACCAACTCTCACCAACTTACCATGATGGTGGATCTGGCATCAAAGGCCACGCGTTTGATCCTCTGAATGAAGCCATCACCTCCTTGCGCCTGCAGGGAGACAGATGCATTGAAGGAGACAGATGAGCTACTGTGCCTCGTCGACACCAAAACTTTCTCAAAGTACTCGCGCAGAATTCTCTAAATCTCAGGCATCCTCACATGGTCGGTGCATCCCAGACATTTAAAATAGTGTTTAATTAAACGCTTCCTTGCACAAGTCAGCAGATGTGCCCGACTCTAGCTTGTTCTCTGTCCGGCCGTTCTACTCCGTCTGAGCTCATTTGTTAGCGACAGCACCTGGGCAGCCAATGGGCGAGCTGTCTCGACGCTAATTCATCAGGATGGCCAATTAGTGAGCTGTGACTGAGCAGGACTGAAGGTGGGCGTGGGAGGATTGCTGTGGAAGCAGCTGTTGCACAGATGTATACCGATGCTGTGTGAGGTCTGTACTTTAGTTAGAAGTTTTAACATTACGTGTATTTGTAATAGCATGTTGTTGGGGTTGTTCTTTCTTTATTGCAAACGATAGAGGACAGACAGTGAAGCCAGCCTATGTACCACAAGAGCAGTGAGTGGGGAGATACTCAACAGGTTTTTTTTAGCAATTCCCTTAAAAATCAGCTCGAGAGGTGCCTGCCAGTTCCGTCCTCCGTTCAAGCATCGTGCGAGGCTAAACACGCCGTCTGTGAACCTTAATGTTCATGCTTCTCATGGAGAACACTCACAGATTTCAGAATTTTGGTCCCCAAAAAAGATGAAACGAACGGTAACTATTGTTGCCTATTTTGCGCCATCTTCATTATCCTAAATTGAGTTGAAAGCAATTCACACATCTTTCTGTGTATTTTCTACATGAAGCATGAACCAGCCTCATGGCAGACATTACTAGCATGACGTGAACATGTTGAAACTGTCCAAGCTTTGGCTGCAACCGGGTGTTTCTTTGGTTGTTTGTTCTGCCATGAAAAAAGTGAATAAATAGCTCAGACCTTCCTCGGAAAATAAAGGACAGGACCTCTGGCTGTTTGGCTTATGGTTTCATACATCTGGTGACTTACAGTGCAGCACAGAGGAAAGCGATGACATTTCTTTTCCAGATTAGTGTGTACACCACAATACAGAATCCTGTAGTAATCTCCGTGTTTGACTGAGGAAAGAATTATTGTAGATAATCCATCCAGGGAGGAGAGCAATATGAAATCTAAACATGCAAAAGGAGATTGCAAAAATACCTCATCTGCTGAAACTATTTTCCTGGGAGGACTTAAAATGCGAGGCAACATGGTTGATTAATGAGGACTACTGGTGTGATTACAACAGTACAACACCAGGGGAAGGGACACACCGAGCTGAATGCATGGAAAGAAAAGAAGAGCGAGAGGGAGGGAGGGAGAGAGGAGGAGAAGAGTTGGACCTGTGCAGAACCGTTCAAAACACCGTCGATGAACTGGACCAGCTGCTCCATGGTCTCAGTCGGCTCACTGGGCAGGAAGTACTGCTCGTTGGATGTGTTGAGGATGATAACAGAGGGCACCGTCACCTCGCTGAGAGAAACAGGAAAACACAGCTTTTAATCTCCTTAACCTCGGCACCTTGGACTGCCATTACCAGAGTGCATCATTAGACGGGAACACGTTGTGCTTTCTTTAAGAACAAACTGTAACACGGAGAACACAACAACAGTGAGATAAACAAACCCTTTGTACTTGGAGCAACAGAACTTTCCCCATGGACATCATTGTTTAAGGATTTCCTTCTCTCTTTTTTTTTTTTTTTTTACTCTGACGAAAACACAGATGCAGCCTGGCTCATTTCAGAGTGCCACTTCTTCTATCGTTTATGCATACAGTGTGCAACTCTGGGGCTTTATGGGTCTGTGCCGGTCACAGTTAAAGAGACCTTCACAAATTACAGCTGACAAGTGAATCGCAGGGAGGCCAGAGGAGAGCAACTCTGCATCCACTGCTGAGAGACACACACAAAACGTATACAAAGAAGCCTCATTTGACAGAGACAGAAATGCAGCACGCTCTCCGACCCGCATGCTTCAACAAATCAGCGGAGGAATTACAAAACTGCGTGAGGCAACGAACAAGGTCATACAAACAGGCAATCCCTGTTTCACATGTCTCGCACAACGCCGAGCCCTGGCTTAGACACACACATATATGCACACACACAAGCACACGAACAGTCCATCACAGCTCTGCCGCCTCACATCCTGCAGTGTTTCTCAACCCGGCAACAAATTGCACACACACACATATCTATCACTGTCCCAATCCACCACCCAGCCGAGATCAGGAGGGCAAACACACACACAGCCGTGCACTCGAGTCATCAACGCCTCACTACTCTGTCCAGCTGAGATCGGCAATCACATGAGTACACACACACACACACACACACACACACACACACACACACACACACACACACACACACACACACACACACACACACACACACACACACACACACACACACACACACACACACACACACACACACACACACACACACACACACACACACACACACACACACACACACACAC